AATAAAAATATGAAACTGACTCCAATTAAATTAATCCAATATAATTAGTTTACTGATAAACAGAATATAAAAAGAGGTTTCTATCGATTGCTTAATGTTTTTTATCTAGTCTGCTATTTCAATCAAGTTATGGCCTTCAGCAAGATTAGATTTAATTTAGATTTAATGCGTAAAAGAAATGAATGGCTAGTTGCACAAAGAATTTTACAATTTTAACCTATTTAAGCCGACGCATGAGTATAAAATTTTAAATATCAGTAACCTATTAATCCCTGATAGCATTATTTAATTTTTTAACCATAGGATTTTGTAGCGCGGCTTGTTTAATGCACTAAATAGTATTCTTAACTAAGAAACACGAGACAAGAAGCAATTCCAATATTATCTTTTATCTTAAATCATTGCTTTACTTTTTGAATCAGTTTATGTTTTTATTTTAATTAAAAGAATAGAATTTTATTTTACTCTGAATATTGAGTATGCTTAGTCAACAACTAAATAATTACTTTTTTTTTTTTTTTTTTCCGAAATTTCTTACTAGCATTTAATACAATATTTCCTGTTATAATTCTCACAAATGTTATTTAATTCGAAACTTGAAAGTTTCTTCTTTTGTATTTTTCGTTGCAATCAGAATGTATTATTTTGCTACTTAATTTCCATATATAAATGCTTATAGGTAATTGGAAATACTTAAATGAATGAAGAACGATAACCCAGACGAATTTAGAGTAAGTTTTCAAAAAGTAAAAAAACTAATAGTAGTAAAATCGAAAGTTATTCAATGCAATTTTCTTACATAAGTGTAGTTAAAATACATTTTCTTCTTTTTGTTGTCATTTTGCTTATCAAGAAATTGTACGTTAGTTGATTCTCTTAAAGATAAAAAGATGCGTTAAGTATTTTCGTAGCAGGAAACAATTTCTTCAGCAAAGCAAGGGAATGTTGCTAACAAGAAAGAATAATTTAAATTATCAATTGAAGTGCTCGAATCATAATGAGCAAAACATAGTACAATACGTATGCGGGCAGAACTGGACATCTGAAATGTAAGCAAGCCTTTAGGATTCTAACTGAATACTTTTCGTTAATTAAAGATCTAAAGTAATCTATCAAATCATATTGATACAAAATAAACGCGATTATGGCTGTATCATATTCAATATACTGATGATGCGGATTACCAAGTATCAAAACATGAGTTTATCATCAATATAATTGAATATGATATGTCCTTTTATGAACATGAAAATCAGGCAAGGAACTAATTTTTCTGCTTCATTTTAACAATAATTTAGAAAATGATTTCTTAGTGCCTTCCTTTAACAGCCAAATATACCATTTGTTCTGAGAAGAAAAGAATTATGCATAACGCTAAATTTTGTGGCAATTTTTATTGCATAAATATGTTCTGAAGAAAACTCTATTGCTAAAAATTACAGCAGAAGCTTAGAAGATGCAGCAGATGTTTTACTACGGAGAAAGCCGTAACTTTATGGCAAATATTTAAATATGGAGAACATTTATGATAAATCTCAGCTTTCTTAAATACGGACGTGAGTAGCTCAGTTCAATATTTAACACAAGAGTGGGAAAAAAGAAATGCGCCTGTTTAATAATTAGAAGCATAACTGTTCCTGATGATGATGTTCTTCATATATTAAGAGGAAAACTATAACATTATATTACATAAAGTACATTTCATATGATTAGAATTGCAATCAAATTCTTACAAGCTGATTTATACTTTAAAAGCCTTCATTCTTTCCCTCCTTCTCCCTTCCCCCTTTCAGCTATTTATTATAGAAATCTAAACCCCTTTCAGCTAGTTATCATAAAAATCAGCTATATCTAAACCAAGAATTATTTCATTCTAAAATTTTACGAACGCATTTTATTTGCTGCTTACATTTTTAGTTCTCTCACCACGTAGTATTTTTTGTTTTGAAAAGAATTTTTTTTCTACTAGTAAATATTACATGTTAACAAATGAAATAGCACATAAATAGTTTGGAACATCTTAATCAAATAATTATTTGTTTGATTAAATGATTCCAAACGATTTATATAACTCATAATCAGTATTTAGTCAGCTAATTTAGATGTTAAAGTATTTAAGACTGTTAAAGGCATTTGTATCTTCACAAAAGATGACTTCAATTTTAGCCTAGTATATACTAATGCGCTGGGCTTAAATTTTAAAAAAATGTCCCAACCTCTCTATCTGCTGTTGCGTTTGAAGATATATAAACAAGTATTCGACCAAATTTTTAATAATGCAATATAATTTTGCTTTTACCTTAAGCAGAACTGGAAAATCAAGATTTGTTTTTAAAAAATCCGATACATTACAAAGAAAATTTATTTTATTAACTCACTTAATTTAAAATAGTAAGAGTCTTGAATAATGAACTTTTTTATCTTATGCCGCATATTGAAGATATGATGGATTTATTTTGTTAATATTTTAGCCGTTTTTCATGCGTTCCAGTACGATAAAACATATTGAAATATTAATTAGATAAGTTGTCTTATCCATATTAGAAAATGAGCATTACATGCAAAATAATCGCATATTTATTATTATTATTATTATTATTATTATATGTAAGAGTACTAGTTGGACCTTTCAGCATTTGTTCACGTTTTGCAACGAACCAACTGGAGGGTCTAATGGAATTTCTTTTTCTTTCTTTAGAACTTTTACTATGCATCTAGTTTCACGACTGCTGTATAGTACTTCCGTATTTCAGTTCACATGAACAAAATTCGTATAAACACATTTCATTTAAAATTAAATCATGCCTTACTTTACATTTATTGAAAGAAAGGGAAGTAAAAAAAATTGCTCAAGTAGAAGTCTTCAAAACTTTTCTATAGTTAAAAGTACAGAATACTTCCTAATGTAAATATTTTAAAATTTCCTTAAATGCATTAATTGCACAAAATTCAGTGTGAAAAGTCAGTTTGCTTTCGAAATAAGATTTCAAAATTAAAAGCACGTCAGAGAATTTTAGGAATCAGTTTTGAGTACATGGTCATACTGTTTCATAATGTTCACATTTAGTTTCTTCCATTCTATTTATAATTCGAAGGAAGTCAAAGAATTATAAAGAAAAAAAGAGCTCAAATACTCTTTATGAGGAAATTTTCCAAAATGTGTGTAGGACACACAGATGAAAATCTTTTAATTACGATCATTAGTACATATTCCTTTAGCGATGTTTTATGTTCTACATATCTGAATGAAATATATCAAGAGAAAATAAATAATCGTTAACATAAGAGGTACAGTGTCTGAACTAGTCATTAATAGGAAAGGGGTCAAATGATAATATTAAATCTATAATTTGTTTTCGATATTAGCAGCAAGGCAATACATCCCATTGCAATGAATATTAACTTTTTTAAATTACTCATACAGCTATTTGCTTAAGAAATATCACATTTCATTTCACAAAAATCCCGGAAAATGGTATTTTTTTAACTATGTTTTAACTACAGCCAAGAATTTTGGTGCTGGCAATAGACAGCTCATGATGAAAACAAAACTGTTTAACATTTAAGTAGACATATATGTATATACTGTTTTTTACATTAGAGGTTTTTTTTTTTTTTTTTTTTTTACTTAATTTGCAAGTATTTGTTTTGAAGCCTTTAACTTCCAGAGATTGCACGACTAGTTAAAGTGCAAACAAATTAGCTTTTATACTTATCTCTCTGTGTGTACATATATATGTACAGCAAAGATAGGTAAGCGAACTAACACCAAGGAAACTAATTTATCTGTAGTTTTAACTACTCGTTCAATATATTCATTCAGTCTCTGATAATTAAAGTCTTCAAAACTGATATTTGCAAGTTAAATTAAAACTTTCCTCTGTTCTTAATTTAATGACGAAGAAAAGAAATATGCTATTTATAAAATAGCTTATTGGGATAAGCATGTAGTCTCTTAAAATTGTAAACTGAAATGATCCTCAGAGCATGATGACACTTGAAATTAATAAAAGGCAATGTCATTAAGGTGACAAGCAATTGACATTTCCTTTAATTAACAACTTAAAATGAATTACATTAAAGGACTAAACATGTAAAATATGGAATATATCAAACAAAAGTTATTTGGTAATAGTTATCAAAGAATGGTCATTTTTTTGTCAGGTAAAGTAACAACAGCAAAAGAAATTGAAAATTACTTCAGATGAAGAGCAGAACTTAAATCGAATTTCACGTGTGAATGTCAAAAGGTTTCTGTACCTTTGCCAAGCAAAGATAGGTAAATTCATTACATTTTTATGACACTTTAATCAATGAAAATTTCTGTGATCAAGTGATAAGTGTGTAAGATGCTATTATAAATTCACTTTTATAAAAGATTAGTAAAATTTAGAACAATCTGAGCAATTTTTTCCCTCGAAGAAAAGTTTTTAGACAAGGTAATACATGTTGCTGAAATCTCTTCCAATTTTCAGAAGATGAAAATGCGGAACAAAAATAAGTACGTTATTATTAAGATAGTATAGCTTTTAAGGCTCATTAAAATCTTAAGAATAAATTAAAATCATAACAAAGAGCTTTAAGAACTAAAAAAAGTACCAAAGATTTCATTTCTTAATTCTGGCCGTTTATTAATGTGCCTTATACGTATTCGGATTTTTTAATTCGGACTGGTTATGGATAAATGCACAAATTTGTATTATTAGAACATAACTTATCCGTTTAAAATTTTAATTTCTTAAGATAACCATCAGCTTTCCAAGCTAGGACTATGGATTTAAACTCCTGACTGAAACAAGCAAGTTATATTGAGAGAGAGGATATAAAATTTTCCTTAGACTAAAACTTCAAGCAAGTATACCTTTTTAAAGTAATAAAAAACAAGGATTTTGAATATATGAGTTTTTAATTTCCTCGTGCATTAATGTAAGCACCACATTAAATTCATAATAAATTTCTAATGCATATCTAACTATGAAAAAATATCAGTTTAAACATACTTGCCTTTCTGCTTCAAAATTACTTTTAAAAAAAAAAGAAAACATTCCAATAAGTTGTCCATGTGATCTTCAAGAAAACCGTGCTAGTGACCGCTGTCCGATATCGATAGAAAGGCCGTGAAGACGTGCTAACTTGAGAAAGTTTCCTTGGAGTTAAGCAAAATAAAGTGATAGGCACTAGGTAAGGTTATTGCCTTCCAAGTGAACCTGGCCCCGACTGCCGTCTTTGCACCTTAGTGCGACGGGTAGTTGGGTGAAAGGGGCCCCTTGCTATCAGAACGATGAACGGTAAGCAACCACTGAATAACCCCCTCCCTTCTGGGATACGGAAGAAAGCTTCTTTTTTTTACCTATCCAGCTGCCTGCTCAAATATTTCCTGTTATGAGTCCAATGAACTCTTTCGTTCGAACCTTACCGTTCTGTCAATTCCGATACTTATACTGACTTCTGAACTCATATTAAGAAGTTAAAAGCTGAGAGGTGTGGTATTTGTCCCATATGAAAGAGGAAAAACATTATTATCGCTCATGTTTCGTTTTTTTAGTATGCTACTGAAACCCATACCTTAAATTAATTTTGTAAACGTTTCTTCGGTCAAAAAATAAAAGCCGAATTTTTTAATTTTTATTTATTTATTAATTTATTTATTTTTAATGGCTCTAGTTATATTTCATACATTAGTAGGGTTTATAAGCCACTGCAGTTCAAAGCTAAAAATCAAAATGAAAATGTAATTTTTCAAGTTTAAAAGTTTTACTTATGAAGTTAAAGCGGTAAGTTTGATAATTTTCTTTGATCTGTTTAAGTTCCCATAGTTTAGATTTTAAGTACAGTTCTGATTAAGTTGTATAACAAATTAGGATAAAATTATTAATTAATTCACATTTTAAAAAAATAAACTAAGACTATAAATTTTTCTAGGGTTCGCCGTTTGCAACATATATATATAAATTTTTTAAAATAATTATAAATAAAGCCAGTGGCAAATAAAAAAAAATCAAGTTATGAATCATTGAAGTTATGAATCATCAAGTATTGAAATAATAAATTACAGAAAAATCATAATATGGTATTAAAAAATTTGGGGATATAACATTTCTTATATTTAAAGATAACATTGTTTCGCTTTTTCCTGCATTTATTTTCCATACATAAGTAATTTTTCATACTAGATATTAATGTTTTAAAATAAAAAGTCCAATTTCTCGCTTCTCTTCTTTATTTCTTTATACCAGTGGAAATGGTGTAAAGACATGTTAGTTCGAGAACAGTTTACTTTTCTGATGCCTGTTTTTTACACTTTTCTTAAAATCAGAAGGATTGCAATACTTTTTTCTTTTGTTTCACCAAGCATCTTCTACTATTACTAACGAGCCAAACTTGATGCATATTGCAATTGTGCTTACTTCTAATTTTACTTCTAATTCTTTAAATCATTTGCCTAGTTAAGATCAACAGCAAATAGAAAAGAAAATTCGGATCATTATTTGAATGCAAACTTACCTAATTACAGGAAATTACTTGCCAATATTCTTTTCAGCTGATTCATAAATATTACTACTCTTCAGTATTAAAAAGAAGTACTTACCTGTGTTACGGAAATCTGAGATTAGCCATTTGAAAAAAATTCGAGTCTTCTCATAGCATAGAAAGAAAAATTCAAACCTCAGTACAGTTTAATAAAAGAGCGCTTGCAAGTAAAGTAGGCCGAGAAAGACGACCATCGAAAGATCTCTGAATTAAGCGCAACTCGCGTCAAAACTTTTCCTAACTTCGACCCGCCTTCCTCTCCCAGAAATTAAACAAAGTTATTATTTATCTGAGCACTCATCCATCATCGATACGTCACTGGAAAGTCTGTTTTAGATAGCTAGGCCTCAGACAGACAGCTGTATTTCCTATATGGCTATTTAAGGAAATTACAGAGAAAAACTAAAAAATATTACGAATTTTAAAAAAGAAAAATTAAACAAAAAAAATGCTATGAAAAAAGTATCCATATTCTGTATGAGCTAAATATAAATAAATAAACAGAAGTGACTTTTAAATTTTTTTAAAGTTTTATCGAAGTGTTTTTGAGAACACTAATTGAAAATAAGAACAAAGTTTAAAAAAGTCAGTATTTTCACTTCGGATGATGAAGAGATAAGTCAGCATCATGTAAAATATGTGTTTCAGAAGTTCGCGGTCGGAAGTCGGTCGCACGACGGGCGGGATACCGGGCGGAGTCCATCGAAATTGCTGCAGCCCTAAAAGAAAAAAAAAAAGCGAGAGCATCTAGCATCCGTTTTTTGGCGGCGCTCCGGTACTCAGGAGAAAGAGGAGGAGGCGATCGATGCAAGCGGAGCATAAAAATCTTCTCCTGTGGGGGTTGGTTCTTGCGCAGACGCCCTGTCCCTCGTTCTTCTTTTGCTTGCCAGAGAAAACCTTCTCTGTGCGCATTTCTTTGCATCCACGCCCTCTGTCGTGCTCCGGCGGAGGCCGTCTGACGTCACTCACTCCCCTCCGCGCACGTGACCCGACGCACCCAATCGCGCACCCACAACAGAGTCGCCCTCTCTCGCCGTGCAGGAGAGAAGGCTGACACCCTCCCCGGATCGCCTTTTTCGCCTGCGACCCCTTTTCTTTGCCGCCTTTCAGTCGAAGTCCGACTCGCATCGCTAGCGGTTGGTGTCTCTACGCGCTCCACCAGCGACCGCCGTTTTATTGGTTCCGGCGCTCTCCCCGCATCGCCACTGGACACTGCGTGACCTTCTAGTCAACCACTCTCTCGTGAATGGAGTTACTGCTATGATCGTCAACAAAAGTAGGTCTCAATCTTTCTCAACCGACCGTGTCTTTCTTCTTCTTGTGATGTTTCTATTCGTTCTTCTTATTTCTCCTCCTTTTTCCTTTGTTTTTTTCCCTTTCGCCTTCTCTAATTTTTTTTTTTTTTTTTTTTTTGTCCGTCGCAAACTTGTGAGTACGTAAGTCCTCCAAGGAATCTTCGTTTGTTTTTTGGTTTATGGTTTTATTTCTTATTATCCGGAATATTTAAAAACTTTATCTTAGCCTACTTGCTGATCATTTATTACATTTTCTTTCCAATTATTAGACTTCGAATTTTTCCCCCATTTCCCGATTTTACTTTTTTTTTTTTAATATCAAAGCACGTCAATTTCATGTCAAAGCTCAAATTTTAATAGCTGGGAGGAAATTCTTTAAAGAAACCTGGAGTGCGGATTTCAGTAGTTCAGGCGGGAATTTCGAACTCGCGATTTTTCAAACTTGGGACTTTGACACGTTTCTAGCGAATGATGGCACTTGAGCGAAACACTTCAAAAGTTTTATTTATTTCGCCTGCTAATGCAGTGGAAGTTTATTGAAAAAATATTAATTTCAATCCTTCCTAATTTCGAGTTCTGCAGATTAAAATTGTGATGAAATTTATTAAAAAATTAATTTAAAAAACTGATCAAAAAAGTAAATGCTTCTTAGCCTTCAACGCTTTGTAAGGCTCCCTAAGCTATCTTTTTGTTGATTTTTTTGTGAAACAAAAAAGAAACCGAAAGAAAAAAAAAAAAAAATTCGCTTCTAAATCGAATGCTTCATTGCCGTTCTTTAATTCCTTTAAAAAGTCTGTTATCTTCTGTTATATGTATTTTAAAATCCTTCACATCATTTTAAATTTTCACTTAATTTTTCTTCCCCCCGAAATTTATTTGGCCTGCGAAAAATTTTGCTTTTTGACACGCTAAATTTCGGAAAAGGAATATTTGTGCGACGAAGGATTACTGACGGTAAAATAATTTTCTGAGAAAATTTTTTAACTAAATTTCTTCAACTTCAAATTATTTTCAAAAGCTCAGTCAAGTTTTTAATGTGAGACACAGACTTTCTCTAAACAAAATACTATAAAATACTTTGTTTACATTTGATAGCAGGAATTTTAGAAGTTACACTGGATTAACAGGAGCGCTAGAAGACTTTACGCGAGGCAAAAATTTTGCCCGCTTTTGTTGCGTGAAACCAAAAAACGTGGAATGAAGTACGGTAACGAGAACTGTTTACAATCAGCAGCATCCGACGAGCAACGAATGAGTTGTGGATGCGGGCGCCCTCTGTCGACAACTGTGGCATACTCATCCTCTTAATACATCAACACTAACAATCAACGATAAATCACAATTTGTCTTTCATCATCTTTTCACTCATACGGTCGTCCATTCAACAATTTAGGGCAGATATATTTTTGAAATAACTTCACTCATCACATTGAAAATGAGAGCTAATATCAAACATTCAAAAATAATTATTATTAGAAGGCTGATTTTAACTTGAAGATATAATTTTAAAGACTTTGAATGAAAAACTGGGTATTGTATGATTCTGAATTTTTGCTTTTTGAAACTTCGGAAAAGAAAGATTTTAGCGTAAGTCATCTTTTTTAACCATTCCATTAATTAATTTTTTTGCTTGGTGCCGCTTTTAAATTTCTAGATTCGTTTCTTCAGCAAATATTGCACTCGAAAATGCTAATTTCATTCAAATGTTTCTCTGCTTGATAAAGGATAATGTTCAAGAACAGAAAGATTTTAAAAAAAAACCTAAAAAATGCATGTTTAGTCAATTCCTGACGCTGAAAAGGAACTTGTGAATATTTCAGGTAAATATTATAGCAAATTTTATAACATATAGCATTAAATTTAAACCGTTCTGAATAAAATTCTACCATTTTAGTTACAGTTAAAGGTTATTCTTAAAATGTTATTTTTCGAGTTTGGGGAGGTTTCTGCTGTTATGCAAGCCTGTACTTTATATCTGTTAGCACTGAGAGGTTTTGTTATGAATTAAGGATCATAAAATTAAATAAAAAGGAGAGTGAGAGATATATAAAGGGAAAGGCCATAGCTAACCTGTCTTATTTTTTTAACTTAATTGTGATCCAATTTGAGGTAAAAACGTCCTATACTTCAAATACGTAACGTGAAATAATAAAATAGCTTTTGTTACTTTATAATGGTGGATCATTTGCCTATTTCTAATTTTAATATCTTTCTTCTTACTGTCATGAAATAACTTTCCGTTTCTTTACCTTAGATCTGTTGTATCTATGAATTCTGTAATTATGTTAGTCTTAAATTCTTTACAATCTTCTCTCACTTCTCCAACTTACTTTTGATCAGTTTTGCAAATGCTACAGTGGCGAAGCAGTTTTATTCCCAATTGTAAGATACGTTCGTGAATGGATTTAAAAGAGATTTCTAAAATTAACACGCTTTTATGGCGAGATATGAAGAAGAAAGGTAAGTGCATTTTATCTTATTTAATTTGTCACAG